AGTATTTATTTAACTTTTTTATTTTTTCATGTTCCTTTTTTTGTTGAAAACTTGAATTATTTAATTTTCATACACATGTACATACATACATACATATGTATTAAATATATGCATTGAAATTTGTTAATTTCAATTTCTTCGTACATATAATAAAGGAAAACAAATATTTAGTTCAATGTGCAATGTTAGAACAGGGGGTTTTTGGATGTACATATTCTAAAATGGAGACAAGAGCCACAATAAGGATGATATGGGCTTTATTTCCTAAAAAAAGAAATGAAGCCCGCGGGCGTTATTGGCATATCGAAAGGGAAATAATGCCCACCGGCAAAAGGCAATAAAGCCCGCGGGCTTAATTTTTTTAGAAACTAAAGCCTATGGGCGTTATTTCCACGGGCCTTATTGCACTCCACCAAATACAATTACACCCGCAAACATAGTTGACCGTGAAAATAAGTTTACGCGTGTTTCTTCGCCGTCCACTAGGTTTAGACGGACTGAAAAGTCAACTTTGAGCTGTTGTACGCGGCAACTGGTAATAGTTCGGAACCCCAATGTTCATAAACGAGATTTGCTACTTTGTTATGACTCTGCTGGTATATATTTTTTATCTTAAATACCAACTTTCGAAAAATGAGTTTTGAGAATCGCCCTCTATGAAGAAGCCCCAGTGTGCGTTGTACAAAAAATTTAAATTTCAACAACTCTCGTAGAAATTTACGAGGTGTATAACTCAATCTGAGCCGAAAATCAAATGGAAATTCTAACGCCGGTAAATTTACGACCCACTTAAGATAGCCTTACCCATATGTATGTCTTGGAATTTATAAATGGCCCTTAAATAAAAACCGAATTTTTGTCTGGCCTATAATTATTACATTATTTAGTTATAGAACTATGTCATATTAAAATTTGAGCAATTCTAGAATAATTCGATTTTTTTATTATCATTCATGGCATGATGTTGGCAATTGCCAGGCAATTAGAACAGTGATGGCAAAATGTTAATCTGATTAACGATTAAAAATTACAGATTAAAATGTTAATCGCGATTAACGATTAAAATTAATTAATCGTATTCATCTGTACGACTAATGATACAATTTTTAGACCGTTAGTCGTCAGTTGTCATAACGATTAATTACTTTGAATCATTGAAATAAAAAAAAATCTGATGAAGTGGTCTAGTTTGTCCATATTTGAAACAAAACACGAGTTCTAGTTATTGTTTTGTGCTTCATGCTTATAAAAAATACATAACATATAAAAAAGTAATAATTATTATTATAAGTATTTAATACGTAAATTGGGAATTTGTTACAATCCATCGCACATGTGTAGAGGGATATTAAAACCTAGTTTCCATAACGTCTGTTGGTAATAGATCCTTCGCTGAAGTATTTTGTGCGTCTTTTTCCGCGGTCAACTTTTGAGCTCAGCCTTTATTCGTGTCTAGTGAGGATACATATTGCAAAACAAAACATTTAGTTAAAATTTATTGAAAGTTAATATTTGGGCAATTCCATTGTGACCCATGGGACTTGTGACTACAGAATGTGAACAATTGTGATTTGTAACTACATACATATACATATATGTCGTCGGAACTTACACAGTGAAAGTTCTTTTAACATACATATGCACATTAGACCACGTCAAACACATGCCATGCGACTAGAATTTTTTGCATTTGGTATAGTAATGATCCTCCATGAATAGAGGGGACATTCTAAGAGGTCCAGCGTCAAGCCTTTACTTTTCCCATAGGAATTGCACATAAAAAAATGTGTTCTTTCCTTTTTAGGTCAATATAATTTTCTGGGATCAATGTAAACACTAGAAACTGTAAGAAGAAGAATCAGTGTATTACATGCCATTAAAGTATTATGCGTGCTCAGATTCCTTAAATTCCAAAAAAATAGGATTTGACCCAAATAGGACAAGGGATTAAAAAAGGATAATTTAGGAATTTAAATAGTCGGGTGTTTTCATTGATCCCAGAAAATTATATTGACCTAAAAAGGAAATTACTCATTTTCTAACGTGTAATTCCTATGAGAAAACTAAAAGCTCGACGCGGGACCTCTTAGAATTGTCCTAGAGAGGGATTCATGAAGGATTATTACATTACCAAATGCTAAAATTTGAGTCTTATTCCGTTCGCATTGCGGGTTTTTTTGTTTGACGTGATCTTCACGAAATCTTTAGGAGAACTTTGGTTTGCAGGGCACCTACTCGGCTACGGCAGTCAAAAACTTGTTTGCGTTTAAATTCATATTTTTCATCTGTGATAATAAATCGGTTACACTCATGTGGAAATCAGTAACCCTCATCTGGAAATCGTAGAGCTTTTTATTTTATAAATATTGACAGAATGCGATGGGAGCTTTTATATGATAAAAATCTTGATACACTGGGCGGTAAAACTGTTATATATAATTATGATGCATAGATCATATTCGCGCTTTTTAGGCTAAACTGAAAGTTATTGGTAAATATATTGAGGAATATTCATAGTCGAAATAAAGTCGATTCCAAATTAAGTAGCAGCTTTTTTGGCAAATATTACATTGATAACTATGTCAAAAAGCTGTAACTAACTTAAGTTTCGGTTTTATTTTGACTATGAATATGTCCCATTGTTTCCAAAAATTGCAAATGTTTGCCAAACTTAACAAATTTAAAATCAGATTTGATGAAGAATCCAATGAAGAGTTTTCTTTGGTAATATATTCTCTTATAGACGAATTTTCATCGAGGTTTTCTGAATTCAAGGAGTTATTGGAAACTCTCATATATATTATATATACGATGACCATATTTATGAAAGCCGAATACGGGACAAAAAATTTTTCAAATTTTTTCCACTGTTTTCCCGGAAACTGTATCCTTATAGTAACAGCACAAATTTGTAGAATTTTTACCCCGCAAAATTTGTAAAAAAAAATTCTTTAAATTTTAGTATAACAAAGTGCAATTTTAAGTCAGTAAGGCATACCATAAATTTTTGGCAATTTTTTTTGTTGCAGGTTTACGCAGTTTTTTCATAGAAAGTATGTATGTTCGACCCTTTTTTTTGAAAGAGAAGCAAATGAGCAGCACTTTATTATGCTC